GTAGTCCAATTTGCAACGGTAATAAAAAAAATTCTAATTTAATATCAACCATTCGATCTGAGATCGACGGTTGATATTAATCTGCTTTATAAATAAAAAAATAAAAGAAAAAATAGTTTTAAAATTAAGAAAAGTTACGGTTGTGACACGTGGCACAATCTGAAGTGTTGGAATTCAAATTTTTTTATATCCAACGGCAAAGATTAATTAGTTGAATAAAAATTTAAAAAAAAAATTGTTTTTACTTTTCTATAAATACTTCTCTTTATCATCTACCTTACAACACAATTTCATATTTTCTCAACTACTTTTAATCACATTCCTATCTTTCTCTCAAAGTTTCAATCCAATTTTTTTCAACAAAATGACTACTGATGTAGGTACAAATTGGTCGCTTCTTGAAGATGTTACGTTGTGTAGTAATTGAGTTGAAGTTACTTATAGTTCACTAATGAGATGCAGTTGCGAGAAATGTGGAGTCTTATTCATACCAATTATCTTGAGAAAATGGGTGGAAAAAGAACCAAAGAATCGATGTCCAGTCGTTGGAAATTACTTAGCCAATCATTTAGTACGTGGAAAGACGCTTTGGCACAAGCTAGTACTAATATTTGAAGTGGGGAAAATTACTCGAATCAGGTAACAATATATTATTTATTTGTTTGTACTATACCCAAATTTACATTATAATTATTTGTTTGTATTATTTATTTGTTACCTAATTACATTATAATTATTTGTTTGTATTATTTATTTGTTACCTACTTTCATTATAATTATTTCTTCTCCCGTATTGTGTAGCAACTTCAAGTACAAGCTTGGTACGGTGCCAAAACCAAAAGCAAAAATAAATCATTCAATCAGTGTGAATGTTGGAATATTGTCAAAGATTGTCCTCAATTCAGAGTTGTGCCTGTCGGTCCAGAAGTTTTCATGAACATCACCCCTCTACATTCTACACCCGATCATGGCTCGCATGTTCATGAAGATGATGCAAAAGAAGTGCCCGAAACGCCCCTCCCTGAACAAGCGTCAGGTTCAACCTGTTATCCAATTAGGCTGAAGGTAAGAAGACTTTAAAGAGAAAAAGGAGTGCTTCCAAGAATGATTATGCAAAGTACATGGAAGAACTTGCTCGCCAAGATGAATTGACTTTGGCGCGGAAAATGGCGAAATTTGAGGCTAATAAGGCTAGAGAGGAGGCAAAAGCTGCAGCTATTGAGAGAGAATTTCAAGCTAATGAGAGAGAAAGAGAGCTACTTAGGCAAGAAAGGGAACAGGTTAGAGAAGAAAGAATGGCTCAACGAGATCGTGAAATTATGAACATGCCTTTAGAAGGGAAGTCTCCAAATTCTAAATATTTTTTGAAGTCGGAGAAAGCGGACGTGGTGCGAAGGATGTGTGCAAGAGAAGCGAGAGCAAGACAAGATGATCCTAGCACCACAAGAGAAGATCATCCTAACACCACAAATTGGTTAAGTGATGATGAATAGAGTAGTTTTTGTAATCAGAGCCCATAATTTTCCAATCACTTTGGGTTGTAATTTATTATTTATTAAATATAGTACTTTATGTTGTTTCCAATTTATTGAATTTAGTACTTTATTTAAAGTGAGAGTAAATTTATTGAATTTGATAAGTTATTTATACTAAGAGAATATTTATTCAAATGACAAAAACACACCAAATAAAATTACATAAACATACCGAATAATAAAAAACTTACTAAAAAACAAACACACCAACTAAAATTAAATAAACACACCAAATAAAAACAAACACACTAAATGAACTTAATTATCTTTAGCTTGTTTCAATGCCCACTGGTGCTCTATCAAGTCATTTTGCCGAGCATTGTGCATATATGGCATTTGAAGTGCAGTATATCGTTGAATGACCAATTCATTGTAACGTCTATCCTTTTCTATTGGCTCATGTTGCACGGGTTCTTTGGTGGCGTCATGAGCACAATATATACGTGTTATTGAATTGTTCATCCTGTTTGGCTCATATTCATCAACGGCATTATAATCGTGCTCATCTTCTACAATCATGTTGTGAAGAATGATATACGTCATCATGATGGATCGAAACAACTCTACATTAAACAATCTGGCAGCACCCTTGACGATCGATCGCCCAACGAGCTTGGAGGATACCAAAACAACGCTCCACATCCTTCTTGCACCTCTCTTGATAGCTTGCAAAGTGTTTTTCCTTTGCACTTTGCGGACGTGACACTGTTTTGACAAATGTTGATCACCTTGGGTAAATGTCGTCTGCTAAGTAGTATGGCTCGTTGTACATACGTCCGTTGACGCAGTACGTTGCAGGACATCATTGAACACTAGGGATTAGGTAAGGATGTTGAGGTCATTTTGAGCTCCCAAAACTCCAAAAAAAGCGTGCCAAATCCATGTGTCAAGAGATGCCACCGCCTCCAAAATAATATTTTTTACTCCTTTTCTGTCCCCATAAGCGCTTTGCCATACACTTGGACAATTTTTCCATGTCCAGTGTATACAATCAATGCTTCCAATCATCCTAGGAAAACCATGCATCTTAGCCTTCTTCAAAAGCCTTTGCAAATCCATGTCAGTAGGTTTTTGGAGGTACTTTGCTGTATAGATAGATTCGATTGCTCAGCAAAACCTCATTAGTGACTCAAGAATAGTTGATTTCCCCATCTTCATTATCTCATCCACTTGGTTTGCAGATGCACCATATGCAAGCATCCGCAAGGTAACAGTAATTTTTTGCTGAGGAAGGAGACCCATAGCACAAAAAACATTCTTCTTTTGCACAAAGTAAGAATCATGGTTGCAAACAGCAATCATGATTTTGTTGAACAAGTGTCGTTCCATTTTAAAACGACGTCTAAAGTATGTATTAGGTAATGCACTATTATGGACAAAATAATCGTCCAAGAGTTCCGTACCTCGTTGTTGCCTACTTCTATCAAGGTTTCTGGAACGACTGGGCCTGCAGATCTGAGCCATAGCTTGGATGACTTGACGGGAATGTGAGGCTCTGCCCATTCTTGCTCCATCATCCCTCCTTCTACGCTCCTCATCCTCTTCCCTCTCATTTGTTGCCACCTAGAGATTGAACATTCCTTCTGATTAATTAAACAATTCTTCCTTTTGCTGATCAAGTTTCCACATCATCCTTGAGAAAGAAGACATTGTAAGAAAGAAGCAGAAACTATGAATAAGGATAGAGATTTTTGTGAATAATGAAGCAGAAACTATGAATAATGATAGAGATTTTGGTAAAGAATGAAGCATAAATTATGAATAATAATAGAGATCTTGAGAAAATTGGTGTGACATTTGTGAGGATGGATGGTGGATTATATGGAGGATCCATCCTCACAAATCTCACACCAATTTTCTCAAGATCTCTATCATTGTTCATAGTTTCTGCTTTCTTCTTCACCAAAATCTCTATCATTAATCATAGTTTCTGCTTCATTCTTCACAAAAATCTCTATCATTATTCATAGTTTTTGCTTCTTTCTTACAATGTCTTCTTTTTCAATGATGATGTGGGAACTCGATCAGCAAAAGGAAGAATTGTTTAACCAATCAGATGGAATGTTCAATCTCCAGAAGGCAACAAATGAAAGGAAAGAGGATGAAGAGCGTAGAAGGAGAGATGACGGAGAAAGAATGGGCAGAGCCTTACTATTACGGACAAAATAATCATCCAAGAGTTTCGTACCTTGTTGTTGGCTGCTTCTATCAAGGTTTCTGGAACAACTGGGCCTGCACATCTGAGCCACAACTTGGATGACTTGACGGGAATGTGAGGCTCTGCCCATTCTTGCTCTGTCATCTCTCCTTCTACGCTCCTCATCCTTTCCCCTCTCATTTGTTGCCACCTGGAGATTGAATATTCCTTCTTATTGGTTAAACAATTCTTCCCCTTACTGATCGAGTTCCCACATCATCCTTGAGAAAGATGACATGGTGAGAAAGAAGCAGAAACTATGAATAATGATAGAAATCTTGAGAAAATTGGTGTGACATTTGTGAGGATGAATGGTGGATTATATAGAGGATTCGGAAAGGATTAGGTTGTAGATAATGCCACGTGGCATGTCGTCATTCGTTAAAAATCTGATGGAAATCTATCTTCAAAGATTGTAAACAGATTATGACACGTGGCGCGACGTAATTGGTTAATAATCTTATCAGAAATTCATCACCAATAATTGTATTTTCGGATAATGACACGTGGCATGCCGTCATTCATTAAAAATCTGATGGAAATCTATCATCAAAGATTGTAAATAGATTATGACACGTGGCGCGACGTGATTGGTTAATAATCTTATCAGAAATCCATCACCAATAATTGTATTTTCGGATAATGACACGTGGCGCAACGAGTACGATTAAAAATCTTATCGAAAATCCATCACCAATAATTGTCTTTTCGGATTTTATAACAAGTGGTCCAACGAGAACGATTAAAAATCTTATCCGAAATTACAATTAAAATTATTTTGTATTATTTTATAAATAAAAAAAATACTAATATTTTATTGCCTATTGCCAAGGCTATTGAAGTGCAACGGTAGAGATGCAAAAAGCGATTACTGATTAAGGACAGTTACTTTTCACTGGGTGAATAGCATAGTGTATTTCCTGGGGAAAGATTTCACATGCTGGAACTGCTCTAAGAATAGTGAAAACAAAACTCCAGAATTTTACGGGGTAACTGATAATTGCCATCATTTTAAGAATTGTGATGACAAACTTGAGTTTTATCAGAACTTTGAGTCCTTTGTTGCTTGAATTGCTTTCTATTACAAAATTTAGGCTCCCAAGTATGGACGAAGAAATTGCAAATTCTTAAAAATCGTTAAATTTTCTCCCCTTCTAATCTCTCATTCCTTCCATCCCTTTCTATTTAAATGGTTACGATTAAACCGCATCAACATCTTGTATTAATTTTAAGACAACAGAATGACCAGCAATAAGCAACAATCCTGGTAAACGGTAGGAAGCAAGGCCAACATTTGACATAGCAAGCAGGAACATTGTCACTTGTTCAAACAAAACCTAGGACTTTTTCAGACAATTAAGTTTAGAAACATTCCATAACAAAATCTCATCACAAAAATAATGTCTGTAATGCTAGTAATTCCCAGAACCGGCAACACAACAGCCATTCACCGACACAAAATAACTGTTGCTTGCAACGAACCTAAACTCAGACATAGGAGCATCGACAAACAAAACCAACTCTTATGATTACCGCAACCTTCTTGCCTCCCTCTCGGACTCGAGCAAGGTAAGGATATCCCCCTCCCTGACCGGTCCCTTGACATTCCTCATGATGAAACGGTTCTGGTCATCCAGAAACTTGACTCTCACTTGAGTCACCTGGCCACGAGATCCAGTCCGTCCCATAACCTTGATCACAATAGCATGCTTGATCGTGTTTTCCATTCTTCACAGAAAACAAAATAGAAAAGAAAAATTCAGAAAACGCAAATCGTCAACTAGTAGTCTGAGCTAGCTGCCTTGTACGAGAACTATTTGAATACAAAATACATGCAAAAAGACAGCAGCTGTCAGCTAAAGGAAAACAACAATACAAAGTTATGCCTACTGATTAGGGGGATCAACAATTTATCTTAGTTTGTAAAGCATGAAACAGAACAAATCAACTAGTACAACTACCAAAAGAGGTAAAAAGGAAAGCAAAACCCCGCTAGCATTAGAAGATCAAGAGGGCACACAGCTCTACAAAGCATTATGAATTTACGATAATAAGTCAAACACAAGTTAAGATTCCAGAACCACCACGAAACACAGCACTCAATAGGGATAACAAATTCATGGCATTTGGTAAGATTCCGATGCCATTGAGAACCAGCTGCAAAGTAACATTCCGATGATGAAACTTCGTAAAGGAATATATATTAAGTTTTAACATTTATACAATGCGTTACAATTAGCGTATAAAACACAAGTTAAGATTCAAGAACCACCAGAAAAAGGAGCAATAAAAATCAAATGGGTATCCAAAACTAGTGGTATTTGGTAGATCCCATTAAGAACCGAGCTGCAAAGTAAACTTTCTGATGATCGAACTTCCTCCGGTAATATTAAAACCAGTAAATCAGATTACAGAAAAAATGATCACTATTTAACATTGCCTCAAATATTGCGATGATAATATATATATATATATATATATAAATCGATTAGAGGGACCAAATCTAACCATATTTTTCTACAAATAAACAAAAATTAGACAAATAAAACTAGAAGAAAATATGAAAAGAACGAAAAAAAGATATAAATCACTAACTTAATCAGCTTAAACCAAAAATTGTGAACTAAAAATTCAAACCAAATTCTAATTAAAAGAATAACATAAACGAAGAACAAAGAACAAAATATAAAACGCGATAGCAGATGCAGTGAGAGAGATAAGATATGAACACTGACCTGCAGGTTCGACTTTCAGAAGATACTGCGAGAGCTTGGAGAAGACGAAGAAACAGCGTCGCAGAAGGGCTTGCTGAATCGCAAGAGACGAGGGAACGGCGCAGTGCAGAAGGTGGGAAGAGCGGAAATATAATTTAGTCGACTAGGGTTTGGGTTAGGTTTACTGTTTTGCCCTTCTTATTCTATTAATTTCACGTCCACCGATTATTCAAAGTTCGCAGGGCCGACGTCGTTTTTATGTATTCTTCATATCCCGCCTCTCTTGGGTATTTATCAAATATGGTAAAAAATTAATTTTTAATTTCAAAAATATCCCTTTTTATAGATCTTTCAAATATATTCAAAATTTCATCTAAATGGACACAATACTCTCAAATTTAACAATCAAATAAATTAAAGGTTTTTTTAGCCAACATGATTTGTGACATTGACATAACTCCTTAATCTGATCCTTAATAATTAATGATAATCAATAGTAGTGTTCTTAAATTTGTCTATCATGAATCATTTTAGTCTTTGTTTGAATTTTTCCATCGTAATCATTTTAGTTTTTTTGTGAAAAATCTGTCAATTGCTCTATTAGTGTGTGTTGGGGTAAAAAAAAAAGGTTCCTCAATGCAAGGAAAGTGGAGATGATGGTGGCAATTAAAATCCATGGTGAAGATTAACCAAGAAAATCTACACCATTCATTTTTTGAAAACAGATGAAAAAAATTAATTAAATCAGAAAAATTAAAGAGCCATGTTGCTGGAACGTGTGAGGAATTGCCCATTTCCTTCAACATGCAAAAGGGAGTTAGTGAAAAACTACCCATTTTCTCACCCCACTCTTCCTGTCAACCTAAGTCTATAAAAGAGGAGATCAACAGAAAAGCACAAGGAAAAACCAACAAAAGGGCAAAGAGGAGTACAGAGGGCTTCACAGCAAAAGAAAAGAGGGAAAGCAAGGAAGACATGACAAAGGGAGCAAAAATATTAGATATGAATTTATTGTTTATATTTTGTTCTTTGTCTTGGTGTTGGTTCAGTTTTTGCAGAGGAAAAGAAAAAAGACTTGGCTCTTCTTATTTTCACCTAAACAAAGAAAATGGTGAAAACTTCCACCATCACGGCCATCAGAAGGATAAACCTCCTATTTCCACTTCAAATTTCCAAGGCTGCATCGCTTCTCTCCTAGACCCTCCACCAAAGCCCACGCTCCCAGCAGAACTACGAAACTTTCCTCTTTCCTCGCTCATATCCTCATGCGACATCTCCCGATCTACGAACACGGTGACTGCGACAATCACTACCGCCAGTGCTAACCTCCCCAGTGACGACAGAACTAGCCTCCACCACGTCTGCGAAAGGTTCGGCTGCGACACATCCACCGTCATCAACAAGCTTTGCACCTATAGAAACGAAGATGATGGAGAACCGCATCCCAAGAAGCAAAAGTAACTCTTTTCCCTCATTACTGAGCCTTCTCCAGATTAAGATCAAAGCCCACCTGCAGTCGCCGAACACTACCACTTCAACAACACCGACGGCCACAGCAGCCACGCCGTTCTCCAATTCGCAAGCCCAACAACCGCAGCATGTTCCCAAGGTGGTCATCGATAGAGTCCTCCATTTCAAAAAGCCAATTCATGTCCCCCGTGCAAATGGATCTTCTCTTTCATTTTGCAACAATGACACCCCATGGTCCTCCGTTTCTGTTGCGACAACCGCCTAACAATGGCGCCGAATGAGCAGCGATAGCAGCCGCTGGTAGAAGCCTCAACAGCAGGCAACAACCACAACAAAGCAACATTAGGCAGCAAGCAAGCCATAAAGAACAAAAATGCAGCCAACAACAGTGAGGGACAGAGAAAGTGAACACAAAGATGAAAGCCAAAGACACAACCGTAGAAAAAGAGAATGCAGCAGAACACAAAGCCAAAGACATGGTTGAGAAGCGGAGAAAGAAAACGCAAAAAAGAAAGAGAGATGTCGTTTGAAGCACAAAAACTACAGTCTTTGCTTGGAGAAAGAAGATTCAAAGTGGAGGACTCATGTTCACTCTTTCCGAAGTGGTGCCTTTCGTTCATACTCTTCGTCCATGCCAAGAAAGAAAAGAGCAGTCTGTGCCATCTCCGCCGAGCTTTCGCTGCCATGAATTTCTCAGTGGTCTAGACCACTCGACGAAGCTCAAGAGGATGTTCTATGGCCAGATGCCTTCCGCTATCGTCGTCAGCTCCTTGAATTTCCAAGGAGTGATCGGTGTTCTCCATCGTCCATACTCCATCCCAAGAAGGAAAACGCGTGCAGTCATCCATCTTCACCACAACCAAACTCCCACAAATAGCATGAGTCTGAAGAAAGCAAAAACTGAAAGCAGCAGAGATGCAACAGTCTCATGTAGAGTGACAACGCAGTTGCCAAACAACGATGACAACAACATTCCTTTACTGTTGCAGTGAAGAGCGGTATGCTCCTTCCTTGGTGACAAGTCTTGGAGAAAGCCCAGCAACTATGAGTTCTTTACAAATAGTAGAAAAAAGAGTCATCCTACCCTTTTTGTTTTGAGTACACACTTGGGGAAAGAAATCACCGACAACAAATGAGATGAGGACGACCCCTACTCACCGTCGTTCATTTATTTTCTTCTTGTGCAAATATGGGAAGTGAAAAAGTAATGAAGATGAACAAAGCAATCTCCACTGTGGTTTTAAGGACCATAACCGATGGGTTGTTGTATGCCTTTCGTAAAGAACCCATTAAAATGGGTGTTGCAGTAAGCTTCAGTGGTGAAATCAAAAAAGAAAATGATGTCTTCCTACAATTAGGAAGGTCCTAGCAAAAGCATATTTAAAATGATGTTCATATAAGGTTCCAATCCTATAAAAAGGCTATTTAAACATGGCCCTGGCCCCACAAAGAAATAAGACAAAAAGCTTTGAAAGGAAGATGTAATTGTTGCTTCCATGTCTTCTATCCAAGAAATAAAAGGAGGATGGATGAACCTCCATGCTACACACGTGGGCTTTATAAATATGGCCTCTATTAAGTTGAAATTATTCATGAAGCCTAAAATGCGGAGACAAAAGATACGGCACTAAGCAAAAGTGAAATGCCAAAATATTAGTGGATTAATTTCACTTAGGATGCCTCAAATGGCACAAAGCCACATTGAATGTCAAAGGGCACGAAGTTGCATCAAAGCCTAAATGGCACAAAGCCGATACAAATGGCATGAAGCCATATCAAATGGCACAAAGCCACGACAAGTCTCAAATGGCATGAAGCCATGTCAAATATCAAATGGCACAAAGCCACATCAAATTTCAAATGGCACAAAGCCCCATCAAATTTCAAGTGGCATGAAGCCACATCAAGTCACAAATGCCACAAAGCCTCGTCCTGCTCCAATGGTTCAAAGTCCTTGCCCGCACGAGCTAAAACTGCATAAGGCATCAAAAGCTCCAAGTGACTCAAAGTCCTCGCCTGCAAGAGCCTAAATTGCACAAGGAATCAAATGCTCCTTGCCTACACGACCTGAAACTGCACAAGACATCAAACCCTAACAAATACAAAAAGAACTACGAGCGGCTTATGAGGGTACGTAGGCAATCTAAGGCTCGACCTAGGTGCAGTCGCAAAATCAAATAAACACCCAAATCCCCAAGTTACGATTTATTCATATTGGAATCAAAAGGTTTTTCCCTTTTAACAAAGGATTGTAATTAATAGACGCATAGTCTATAATGGGTCGAACTCAAATTAATAAAACCTTCTTCGGAAAAATGAACGAGGGCGAAATTGTGTCGAGTGAATTATTTGTTTACATATTGTGTCCAAATTTTTGCTCAATAGTTTGATGATGTGGCGCCACGTGGATATCACAAATACAATCATATAACGACATGTGGATTAACTTTAAAAACTATTTTTATATTTAAAACTAAAAATGATATTAGTAAGAAAAAGACATTTAAGGCATGATTGAAATTTTGCTGCTCCCACTTGCGGTAACCGTGGTGATGCTTAATGTCCGTGATGAGGGGGTCAAAGTGGATAGGGTTGTGGTGGTGGAGTGTAGAAGCGAAGGTGAAGTTGGACCGGAGCCTGAGGAGATAGTAGCTAAATTTTTTTTAATTTATTTAATTGTTAAATTTGAGGGTATTTGTGTCTATTTTAAGTGAAATTTTGGATATATTTGAAAATTTTATAAAAAGTGACATTTTTGAAATTAAGAGTTAATTTTTTGCTATATTTGATAAATACTCCTCTCCCTTCCCCCCTAACAAAGGGCTCTCTTTCCAAATTGAAGCACTCTCGCCTGACCTCGTTGTTCAGTTTCTACTGGACGACGATGAGGAATCCCCGACCTTACAGAGAGTCCTCGAGAGGCACATTGAACGACCTCTACAGTTTGATTTCTCGCTCCAGAGAAATACACTTACAGCAGAGTGGATTGAAATTATGCTAATTGTAGTAATATAATTGTTTTCTTAACAACATTTGAATGCATAACGAATTTAACTCTTATATGTGTATATATATGTATTCATAAAAGGATCATTGGAGAGGAATGGGAAAGTGACCTCGTATTGACCGTTTTGTGGCCATGTATTGATCATACTGTGATTGTTTATAGTTCAATGTCTTTGTCATCGTATTGATCGTTTTGTGGCCATGTATTGATCATACTGTGACTGTTTATAGTTCAGTGTCTTTGTCATGTTTTGGCCCCAAACTATAACGTTATGGTTAATAAATTAGGGTTATCGCTCATGTTTTTACTTAATTAATCAAATATTGAACTCGGCGAAACTGAACTGTCAATGGATTAAAATTGTGCTAATAGGGTAGCTTAATTGTGTTCTTATCAGAGTTTGAATGCATATAGACCTATAGGGCTTATTTTTTCTGTTGAACGTATATGAGAATCCTGTAAGAGGAGATCGGGGATCCCGCTATTGGAACATGATAAGATTGTACCTTTTTATCGACCATTTCGAGGCCATGTATTGACCATGTAGTGGCCATTTAAATTCAGTGTTTTTGCCCTTTTTGGCCCCACTCTATGGACCGCTATATTGTCAAATACATGGTTGTGAGATGGCTCAAACAAAGGCACTGTCCTATCTCGCTCAAAGAATGGTGCGGAATCCCTCTTAGAAGGAGCTCATATTTGTTTATACTTAAATTCTGAGAGCCATGATTAGAATTCAAAATAAGACCAGTCCAAGTAGTCAAGCTTTCCATCTTTTTCATCTTCTTGATACTTGGATTTCTAGCAACCCTGCTTCTGAAAAAATGCATTCGTTCATTTGTTCTCAGATATCAATGTGGATGACTGACAGAAGCTACTTTCGGCTTATGAGCTCTGATGTTGTTAACCGACTCGAATTGATTGCAAACATTCAAGGAATAGAACAAGCTGAGGATTATTTTAACAACATTCCAAAACAATTGAAAACTCTCGAGGTTTACTGTGCTCTACTGAACAGCTTTGCTCATGCAAAACTTGTGGAAAAGGCTGGGGACGTTATGCAGAAGTGATAGGAGCATATTCATGCGACTTAAATGGCTTGTTCTCGTGCATTTACGTTATGTTTCTTTAGTTATTTTAGTCCTTTATGCTTCTTTTGTGTGTTTTCAGGTTCTAAGGGCAAAGTATGCAAAATGATGCATTTTGGAGCCTTTTGGAGCAAATTAGAGATTGGAATGAATATCATATGCTTAAAGCCAAGTAGATGGACGAAATTGAAGACCAAAGGAGGCTAGGAATAAATAAAGAGATGAAGAAATGAAAATGAAGAACAAAGAGTTCACATTCACCACCAATTCAACACATGCAGCCATTCACCCCTTTTCTCCAACCTTGCCGTGCACATCATCATAAACAATTAGCCATTCCACATGCATTTCCACCCACATGCACTTTAATCATTCAATCACACCATTCCATCCATTCATTCAGCCATAAGTAACACCACACACCAATTCTATCCCTTGTGCCGTGCATCCTCTCACCAAGAAATCATTCATTACACATGCATTCATCAACATATCTAGCTGTCACTCACATGCATTTCCTTCATCATTTCCAACCCACATGCACCCAGAAATCATCCTTGCCGTGCACATTCACTCACCACAAACAAGCCACATGCATTTCCAACCCACATGTCCCTTTAATCATTCAAACATGCACCCTTTATACTTTCATTAATTAAACCATTCAGCCACATTTTCACCAACAACAAGCATCATTGCCGTGCCTTTCCAGATTTCCAGCATCCCATAATCATTCACACCCCTTTAATCCACATGCACATTCACCCCTTTCGCCACACCAAAACCGTGCACATACATTTCCCTTGTGCAATTCCAGCTTTCCACAACATATCTAGCTGTCATTGCACATGCTTTCACATTCATTTCCAGCACCAAACATCCCATGTCGTGCATTCCCTTTCATTTCAGCCAAGTCACATGCATTCCCTGCATAAATCAGCCACATGCATTCCCCTTTGATTTTCCAGCTTTCCACCAAGTTCCTAGATGTCATATTCCCTCTTTTTCACCTATAAATAAGCATCCATTGCAGCCACAATTCAGGGACTCTTCCATTTCAGAAAATCATCCACAAACACCAACCATTTCCTTGTTGCCGTGTACTCCCTATTAATCCAAACACCACCAGAAATCATTCCTTGTGCCGTGGCTTTCCCTTTCCATTTTCACCACTCCCCAAACCATTCACACCATCAAACTATCCTTAGACCTTGTGCCACAATAAAGAGGAAGAGAAGAGGGCCTAAACGTTCATACAATTCAAGTTTGAATTGTTGGAATGTTTAGGTGTTTCTTTGATTTCAATGTTTAATTTCAATTCTCTTTGTTTTGTACGTATGAGGAACTAAACCCCCCCTTGGCTAGGGGGGGATTCGAAATATATGTTTATGCTTGCAATATGATTTGATTACTTCTAATTGCGTTTCATAAGTTGTGAATTCAATTTGTTTAACTGTTTGATTGATAACTTATTTATGTATGTTTATTGAGAGTGCACGCTTAATTTTCATGCATGAATATGACGCTAGAATATAAGTGAGTTTCACCTAATAGTTATGAACTTATATTCACAAGTAGTGGAGGTTGCTTATAAACAATCGCGTTAAATGAATTCTTGGCAAGAGTATCATGCATTCATAGTTACAATTGCCTCGTCAACACTTATAATTTTCATAGAACATAATGATCTCTCATTGTATCTCTTCTATGCATTCATGTTGAGAACCATTGGAGAATGATTTGAATTGTCGCATGCATCATCCAATTCAATAACATAAGGAAAATTTGAGAGTTAATTAGTGCATCACGGTTAACTTGGGGTGTTGAGCATCATGGTTTATTGAAAAGCAATTGGAAATCGTTTTATATGCAAGTGTAACATGTGTGGAGATGAACCCCTTAGCTAGCTTCCCATCCATTCATTTCCGTCAAATTCGTATTTACAATTTGTTTTCTTTACAATCTATCCATTTTAGTTTAAATTCGTCCAAACCTCAATCCCCCCCCATATTTTGTTTAGTCTTAGTCTTAATCTATCTTATTCTGAGTTTTGCATTCTTTGAGTCTAGTATAGTGTTTTAAACTTGTTTTTACGTTTTTGAGTCAAATCCAAATGATTAACAATCCCTCCTAATCCCTGGTCTAGAACGATCCCTACTTACATACTTACTACAATTGATAAAAAGAGGGTTTAATTTGTGTGCGTATAATTCTCGCATCAAGAAGATGAGGGATTTGGGGTTTGCTAGGACACCGTTGTCCAACAACATTTTGCTCGATTTGTATTATCAGATGGAAACGCTAACAAATTCAATGTTTTAATGAGTGAAATGGAAGAGAGGGGCATTGGTCCTGACAAATACACTTATAGCAGAGTGGGAATCCAATCCTGAGGTTCCTATGGATTGGGATGGTTATGTCAATGAAGCAAATGGTTATACGGAAGCACGAAATGTGAAAAAGGCATTGGCAATGCTAGAGAAGGTTGAGAAACTGATACCCAAGTTCTAAAAGATGGGAGTGTATGTTGGATAAACGATAAATTTATATACGTTAATAAATAATAAATGCAAATAAATAATTAAACAAAGTATGAACAAAACGAAATAATATTAAACAGATAAACTGAAGATCGAGGTTTGCGTACATCAATGGACATCTGCTTAACTAGGATTCAACGATCTAAGTCGATATTTCAGCACTGGAAGACTAGACTTTTGGGGAATATATTTGTGGTTCTCTCAATACGAAGGTTTGTGATCATAGAAGGAGAATTTATTTTTTCTATGTTCTAAATGTCATGCATATGGATGCATATAAGTGTAACAACCTTGGTGTATAACAGAGGTCTTTTGATAACAATTTTTTTTTTTTGAATAAACGATATTGTCTTCACTAGAGGGAGGGATGAGTTTAGCCTCATAATGAGTTAGCAAATAATGTGGTTTAAATTCGCATTATACAAGAATCGAACTTAAACTTGTCACTTACATTTTGTTTTCAATTATTATTATTTTTCTTTAAAATTAATTAATTTTTTTTTCAGAACTTTAAAAATTAATAACTGAAAACAAATTCAAACCACTAAAACCTGAAAACTGAATAAACGGGTATAAATACCCGCCCGCAGCCGACGCACTAGTGTCATCATAACAACCAAGCTTCTGTCCAAAACACCGCAAAAAATGGAACAAAACCTCTCCGCCCAAACCCTCCCCAACTCACTCCCCAACCACCGGAACGTCGCCTCAGACGACGACGACGACGCACCGACCCTAAGCCTTCAAGCCCTAGAAGCTTTGAAGGAGTTCCTAGCCGAGCAAACCCAGTCATCACCCGACACCGCCGCCGAGAGCCGAGCAGCCGATTCGACTGGTCCTGCTCTGATCTCCGAAGACTGGAGACTGAGTCAGTTCTGGTATGACCCCCGCACCGCCCAAACCCTAGCCCAAGAGGTCCTCACTCTCTGCAACTCCGCCACCGCCTCCGCTCGGGTCGCCTGCGTGGCTTGCCCCTCACTCTACGCGTATCTCAAGGTCCTTTCATCTTTTCAATATCTGGGGTTTTATCAAATTTTTAATCTTTTGTTTGATACGACTGTATTAGGAAGGAGCGGATTTGAGTTAAGCCACACAATGGACCTGCAGTAATTTCATATTGAACTTACCATTCACGAGAGTTGAACCTGACACGTGTGACTAGACCGTAGTACTAATGATTTTGGTTTCTTTATTTTTTTGACTGATTTTTGGATTTTCAGAATGCTGATTCCGATGTGTCTGTACAACTGCTCGAGTATGACAAGCGGTTTGAGCAGTACGGCAGTGATTTCTCGTTCTACGATTACAACCGGCCTGAAGATTTGCCATTGGAGCTGAAGAATGCTTTTGACATTGTGGTTGCTGATCCTCCTTACCTGGTGAGCAATTGCAAAATTATGATTCTTTTATGTCTATCTTTTGTCGCTTCGGTTTGGTGAATTCAATTTGTATCACCGATTCGTGTTTGGCCATATGTGCGTTCTCACTATGGGATATGATGTGTGTGTTATGTACAAAAGAATCTGAATCTTCACACACTCCGTAAGAATTAAGATCGGGCTTTCCTTTGGGTTGCAGTTGAAATACATTTTGATGATTGTATGTACCGCGTTTAGTTACCGCATTGCTTTTCTACATCTGTTGTACAGAGGCTGAGTCCAGTTGCATAGGTGGGGCATCTAGTTTCATCACTTCCTCTTTTTCGTTGGATTCAAACTAATTAGATTTGAGAATACGGTTTTTCAGACAAATGTAGCCGTGAACTTATGGCATTTTGGCTGTTTTGATGGTTGTGAACATATTGCTTATGTAGCATAACTGGTGTTGACAGAGTCAGGAGTGCTTGGAGAAAGTCGCTCAAACAATTTCATTTCTTGCACGATCAGAAAAATCTTACTTGCTTCTCCTCACAGGTAAACATTATTATGTATAATTTTGTAAAATGCAGTAAGAGTATTGTCATTCCTGCACAGGCTACACGGTAATTACTTCTAGAAGACAAGAATAAAACATTTTAAATTAAACCATGTTGTTTCTTGCACATTTCAGCTGAGTGCATCCAACTAAATTGTTATATGATGACTTGCAGGAGCTGTGCAGAAAGAGAGAGCAGCTGAACTCATGGGATTGCATCCATGTGGTTTTAGGCCTCAACACTCTAGCAAACTAGGAAACGAGTTTCGTCTGTTCACAAACTATGATCCTGAGACGAGATTAGAAGGGTGGGAGTTAGAGAAGTAGGAACTCTGTATTCTCTTGTGACCATAAACTGGTAAGTGACGATCGGCCGGTGAAAATTTCTTTCTTCCTTCACAATAATATGTAATGGGAAGTCAACGTTTGCTGTATTATATACATATACAAATTAGCATATGCTAAGAACGCAGTTAAGATATGCATGCTTAATTCTGATTGAGTTTGTTGTGAAATCTGAACACTATCGTACTTTTTACGATCATTGGGAGAGGCAATTCTATTAAATGTGTAGCAAGGTCACATTAACCAAATCTGAAATGTTACCGTGTTTCGATGGGTGCAGATTCACAACTCGGCATCAAACTTTATTGCCTGCAAGGCATAGACGGATACTAGAAAGATGTTGGCGGAAGCTCTGATATTGCATCAAGACAAGCTAAAGCAGAGCAGTATATTTTTTGCTACTCTTCCAGGCTGTGTTTTTATCTCTTCTTGTTTTCTTCAACGCCCCCACAACTTTTAAGCCGAACTTTTATTTGCCAGTTTTGATTGCATTGTGCACATTTCTTGATGATTTCATGCGTCTTGTATCTTTTGAGGATAAAATTCCACGTTGTTAGAAGTGCTCTTTTGAAGTGCTCTTTGGTAAATACTAAAAAGTGCTTTTGTAATCCAATATTAGCTGTTGTTCTACAAGCACTTTCATATTGGAGTCAGTCTCAAAGAAGCTTTTATTAACAATAACATATTGATCGTTTATTAATAACTCAACAATAACATAATAATCACGAACAATGATATAATGACAATATAACAAGCACAGACCGCGACCGTTTCTGTAACAAAATGTCATAAAGTGATCATTCCTGCCAATTGCCCTCTATTTTTCTAGATGAGTCGGCCAAACCGAAGAGCACCCACCAGAGCATAACAAATTATTGTGAATATATTTCTGTACGCAAAATGGAGGCAATTCTCACTGATACTCTTCAAATACGGTATTCATACTTACAAAATTAACTAGGAGATGTGGGTTGAGTAGCCTTGTTTCATGAAGAACCTCAACAATTACAATTTTTTACATTTGAGCCGGAGTTACGAGACCCGAAATTAAATGACATGACACCCTAGCGAGATTCACAATCTATACAGAACAAGTTCAAAACAGAGCTACCAGTTCAAATATTCCATCTACTTCCGCGATCATTAACCCGTTCTCCCCAAGTTTTTGCAAAACACATTGGTTAAGAAAGGGTGTCCGAGAAGCCGGTAGCTACTAAAACGGTTGAAAAGGGTCAAGAGAAGAGGTTAACGACTTAATGTGCATCGATTTTGTCATGGTTCACCGATATAAACGATAGTCTTCTTTTGGAAACCTTGGATCTGTAGCACCATACCTCAAATGCCTCAGTCAGGTCAGGATATTGAATATGTTCGTTCTCCAACCATTCGGTCAATATCTCCGCCTGCTCAACAGATGGGAGTGCAAGTATTATGGAAACAAATGTGGATTCCAAGGATTGCCACAGTTCACTGTCCATCTTTAGCGTAGGAGCATCATCACCGGTAGTTGTGGCAGAATCGATCAGTGGTTTCGCAACCCTCACAAAAGGAAGCCACACCTTTACCATATGAAGCCGTTTTGCAGTTGGCAAAATCACAGTGCCGTAACCTATTGCCTCTAGAATCTTTGCTGCAACCTCAACAACCCTAAGCTTTGTCTCAATCAGTTCAGTTGTCGGCCTTGCTTGCTTTACAACCTTAACTATTTTATCCGATGCATCCATCCAATTGCAGACAAGTTCCCTCATAATTTCCAACTTAGTTAAAATCTGGCACGCCCACGACAGATCTGATAAAAGCGATTGAAATGATTGCATCTTCCCTCCATCAGAAGATAATTCTACTTCACTTAACAAAGCTTCTAATAGATTATTAAATCTTCCATATAGTCTCTTCACACATTCTTTCACCTCGGATTTAATCTCATCATCGGCTGTTAGGAGAGGGGCATCATCGTCTTCAGTTAGCATGTACTCAAGCTGCTCCTGGGCAGAAGACTTTAGATCATTCATGATTGGAAGAGGGGACGATGTGGCAAATCGGATGGTTGACAAAAATATCGCCATGATTGATGAGTGATTGACTGGAAGAAGACGGGCAAGAATTGGCTCCACTTGTGATCCCAGCCGTGGTATGATCTTTAAAATCTCCTCCTCCTCAGACTCTTCCCAGGGAACTGCTTCCAAGTAGTTCACACAAGCAGTTATAATTTGTGGGCATCCAAGCTTGACAGCCACCTGGAGAATTCCAATGGCGTTTTTTACACCATGCCACAAGTCATCAAATAAGCCATCTACTATGATGTAAAAAAGGCGGAGAACACTGACATGGTGGTCAAATTCTGATTCTTGGCAGTATACGTCAACGCAGTTGCGTGAGTCAAGAATCTGACATGTTGGCCAATTTTCAGAGAGGCGATCGGCAAAATACTTGCTCTTTTCCATGAGGATCTGGGAATGACAATATAGCCGATCATCCCGCCCATCCTCTGTGCGTATCCTCACAACAACATCACTGGTTGATCGGTCCCCAATCTGACTAGGAGTACTTGTTTCAGAACCCTGAAAGAAAAGAATGTTAAACGAATAGAAAAAAATAAGAGACTATCAATACGAAAACAGAAATAAGGATAACAATCACAAGAACATTTAGAGTTGACATTGCTTGGGAAACTTACAAGATACTCCATTGAAGTATTAAGCACTAACGACTACACCTTGAACACATGTTGCGATCTGTACATAAACATGATTAGCAAAAATGTTAGCGAATTCCATCATTAAATTTCCATACAAACTCGATATTTTTACAAAATTACTAAGATCGTTTTCCTTTTTAGTTTGGCTTGAAATAGTAACAATTATCAACATATTGAGCTGATTATTGCAAATTGGGCCATAAAAGAAATGAAATCACACCATATGAGAAACATTATGCGACCCAAAAGAGTCGAATTGTGATATTCTGGGACACTTCCCCGAATAACCAAACCATTTCATTGTTGCCAGGTGCAATAAAACAGCCGATTGCACAGGAGTTCTTGTTACATTTCAATTATATACCAGTTCACAGGAAAGCAAGACAAAATCCAACTGATGGCTCATCGAGCGGACAATCCATGTACTTCTAACTAACCAACTTAAATCCAATTCTCAACTAGTTGATGTAGATACTTCTTAAAATCTATATGCTCGTATCAAAGTAAGATCTGCAGATCAAACTCTCCCAAACATAATCTAGAACTCCAACTGATCCGAAAACACGTCAAGTAATAAAACAAACAGAAACAGAAAGAAAACATTTAAAGTATCTTTGGGAGGCTAATTCTACTTCAAGCATAATTAGCTTCCTTGTTTTCACTTTCCAACAACCAACATTCTATCAAAATTGAACATAAACTAATACGTCATCAAATTTAAAAAGAAGAACAGAAGAACAAGAAGATGAAAACTAATGCATACATAACTCAGCAAACGAGGCCATAACAGGAACCGGGAACACAGTTTTACAGAAACTCATGCATACATAACTTACTTTTGAGGATGAAATATAACTACAAATTAGATTACAAATTTGATCTTTATTTGACAGTACCTTATTTTTTTTCTTCCCAATATTACATACATTAGGGTAGACATGGCAGAAAACTGCTCGCAATGATTCATATTGCTGACTCCACTTAGTGGGATAAGACTTTATTGTTGTTGTGATTGTTGTATTACATAAATTAGGGTAGCGCTACGTTAATTTTTGTCAATTGATCTTCTACAATTTGGGTGTGTGAGAGGTAAAAATACGTATGTTGAAATTAATGTAAGTATTGGGACTAAACCCATATGTTTCAACAACATAAATTTACAAAATTGAGATAAGCAAAATAAAGGGAGAAAAAAATATAAAATATTAAATTAATCGCCTTTATACCAAAGCTTGTGATTAAGAATTCTTATTTAAATTCACAAACCCAACTAAAATTTAAGCCTAATTCTGATTAAAGGAAAAACATAAGGAATAATTAAAAAGTGAAATTTATAAAAAAAAAAAAAAATGAGTTTGATAGTAAGTAGCAGATGCAGCGAGAATGGTAAGGTATCGGCGACAGGAAGTGCAGATATGGGTGAGAGAAATAAATACTGACCTGGATGTTAGAGTTGCGAAGGAGAGTTAGAGGACAGGAAAATGGCGCCCGGAAGGGTGTGCTGAATCGCTGAGCACAACGGAACGGCGCAGGGCAAAGGGGAGAGAGACAGAGAGCCTGTAATCAACTTGGTATTATTTTTTAATATTTTTAGTATTTTTATTTTTATTTTTTGGCTGCGAAACTCGTATTTTTTAGATTTCAATAAGGAAAACAATTTATTAAAATGTAATACTCATTGGCTTGTCTTTCTTATTAGGCAAACTCCAATACATGACCTCAAACATATAATTCTCCTTTTATTCCCCCAATCCGTTTCAACCCAAGTTTTAATTTGGATCTAAAACCTAAAACCTAAAAAAAAGCCAGATTTAGGCCAATATTGTGGTGGAGTCCCCACCCACATGGATGTGTCTCCCAGTTGTTTGCCAATAAAATTGAGCCTAATGACTCTTTTGGTTGATCAACGGCTCACATTCATATGAGTTGTTGGTTATCCAACGGTCCACATTTAATTTCGTCAATATTTTTGTTTTATATTTATAAATTTATTGAGTCCAACGACTGCAATCGAATATGATCAAATCTAACGGTCCAGATTTAAATTCAACGGTTAAAATAATTATAAAAAATTATTTAACTCAAAATTCATCCAAAAACTCTATAAATACTTGTATATTTGTTGAAACATCCACACAAAACTTACTTTTCTCCTACAATTCTTCCAATTTTTCTTTCTACCATATTCCAAAACCATGTGTTTGCTCATGTGTCTTGCCTTGTGTTTATACATCTCTATCATGTGTTTCATATTCTTCTATAGTATTTCATGTGTTAGTTTAATGATTTTTTAATGTTTATCGGAATTTAAATATTTTAGGTTAAAATGTTCATAAAATTAGTTTAGGATAGTCTACATAATTTTTTTTAAAAGTTAATTAAAAAAAAAGCCTAAATTCATTCGTTAATAATCTGGGGCTAAAATTTTAGACTAGAAGAGTTGGAGCAGAAAAACTGTTTCTGGGTTAAAATCTAAATTTTCTGACCTTAAAATTTTAGGTTTTAGGCCAAGGGTTGAAGATGGTAGTACTATGGGTGGGTTAAAAAAAGGAAAACAAAAAAAAATCAGACTGAACATCTAACCAAAACCTAAAAATCGAAAAAAAACCGAATTGAAAAAGAAAAAACCGAACCGAACCGAACTTTATTGGTTCAGTTTCAATTTTAGAGGTTCAAAAATTGAATCGAACTAACCAAACCGATTCCCTATACACTATGAATTTATGCCCATGATGTTTCTTTTGTGAAATTTTGTTGACAAGTTTGAAACTAAGCCTAGGCTTTTGCAAGGAGCATACTTGGTTCAGTTAGGGAGGATATTCAATTGTTTATAAAGAAGTTTTTTGGAAGGCTTTGGAACTTGGAAAAGCTTATCTATTTTTTTGCTTTTGGAATGGCTATGGTGATCATTTTTCTTTGCAATTGAGGTTGTTGATAGAATATATAATTGTATATGTATAACTAACTTCCCACTTTCCCCATTTTCTTATCATTTTAAATTCCATATTAAAAGAAAAAAATCGAGTTTTATAAATAAATAAAAAATCAAAATCAAACCAAACAAAACCAAACCCAGAAAAATTGAACCCAAAAAATAATCGAACTAAACCGAAGTTTTGGTTCAGTTTCGATTTTGACAAAATACTGAACCGAATGAAACCAAACACACCCCTAACTATTACTAGCATATTGGCTTGTCTTTACTATTACTAACATATACATGCACGTTTTGTGTGATCACCTTTTTTTTTTTTTTGCTTTTTTCTGAATCATTTTGTACCTGAAACCAAAAAGTTCAGTATGTGATCTGGGATCCATATGCCTTTGTTCTGTAATCCTAAACCGAACCAAAACAGACTTTATATATATTTAATATTAAATTATATTTAGGAATTATGTGGAGCGTTGAATTTGGTTGAGAATTAATCACTAACATTTCATACGTTACCTAGCTCTCTCAACCTCACCTGAGTCACCTCACTCTCAGTCTCACTCTGTCTCTCTCGTCTCGACTCGTCTCCTTCGCCAACCCAAAATCGAGCTTTGCTTCACAACACACTCCAGTGGCTTCCTTCACTGTCCCTTGTCCCATGGCGTGCTCCACCCCAGTTACCCGCCTCGGGTCCTCCCCCCAGCCGTCGCAACTGCATCAGCACCTATTCTCCTTGCAAAATTGCCTCAATCGCTGCCTCATTCCATATATGTAGATTTTTGGCCTTCGGGTTGGCTTAATTCCGCATACCCTTTACTTTTTAAAGCTTTGTTTCTATAAATTTCATTGCTTTTTATTTTTTCATGCTTTAGTTTTGTATTCTGCTCAAATGGGTATTGTTTGTATAGGTTGTACAATTTCATTTCTAAAACTTCTTTAATTTTTTCAAACCGTACCGAAATATCGAAATATTTTCGGAAATCTCAAAATTTGGGTTCAGTTTGGGTCACCCATCCCGAAAAAGATTGGCTCGGGTTTCGGATTATGCTTTTCGGTTCGGGAACCCGACCCGCCCGTTTTCAACAATTCGAGTGGAGAAAGACGGTCCTCGGACATTGGAAAGTTCGAGATCCCCGCACAACACAAATACAAAGCGATTGTCTCAAAACCAAGTCACACACAGAGAAAGACTGAGAGCAAGCAAGAAAAATGAGACCCAACATTGTTTCCGAGGTAAAATCTCATCTCCGATCTACCCCTCTTTCCCCTTTTTTCTATTTTCCCGAGAAAATTTCAGTATCTTACCTTATCCTCCGTTTGGTTGCCGAGAAAATGCGGAACTGAGTTAAAAAATGATACCGAAATTTTGAATTTTGTGTTCTTTAACTGCTGAATGAGGTAGATATTGAACCGTGGACTTAGTTGCCTTCAGCTTCCCAATTTCTAGTTATGCTTTCTGAATTCTGAGTGACAATTTCATGCTCGAATTCGATTCGGTTTTGTTTGTTGTGTTTAGCATCAGTATCAACTCTGTTTAAAATTTGGGAAACCTAAATTCGCTTTGATTAATTTTTTCCTAATTAAAATTGTGCTCAAATTAGTGTTTAATTCATACATTTATGGTTACTCTGTGTGTGTGTGTGTGTGTTTGTTTGGGTTGTAGTAAATTTGAGATTGATTGCATGTTTGGGTGTTTATGTATAGGCGGGACTGCAAACTAGGTTGCGGCTATGGTGGGAGAGCATTCCTTTCCTTACTTCTGCGGTGGTTGGTGTGTGCGCAACTATTTACTTGGTTTGCCTCCTCGTTGGATACGACTCGTTTTACCAAGTATGCTTTTCGCCCTCTGATGTTGTATCCAAATTCCAAGGTAAATTTTTTCATTGTCAGTGTGGAAATCTGTAGTTATTAGAAAGAAGGGGAATTTCGCTACCCTCTTTCCGGTAGTCTCTTCAAAACAGTATTTCGTTATTACACGATCGTTGTAAACCTAAATATTGGGCCTTTCTTAAAAACAATCATTGGAAACCTAAATATTGAGCCTACCTTAGCAATCTGTAATTTACTGCCTCTATTGTCAGGCTATGGCACAGATCTTCGGGTCACCTGCCTGGCCCATTTTGAACTCTAATGGAGAATTTCTACTCATTTTTATTTATATTTTTGTTTCTCCGCACAAAAGCTTAATCTTGTTTAAGTTAAATCGTCTGTATAAACTATATGCGGGGGGATTTACTCTGTTAGGAGAAGAAGTAATATGCCTTAACTGATTTCATCTCATGGTCGTCAACCTTTGGTTCTCTTTTTTTCAGTCTACAGGATTTTCACCTCCATTATCTTCCATGGTTCAGTGCTGCATGTGTTGTTCAACATGATGGCATTAGTTCCTTTGGGTTCTGAGTTGGAGAGAATCATGGGAACTGTCCGCTTATTGTACTTGATCATTCTTTTGGCCATAAGCAATGCAGTGTTACATCTTCTGATTGCGTTTTTGGTGGCCTATAATCCTATTCACTCTTATCAGTACCTCATGAATGAATGTGCAATAGGCTTCTCGGGAATCTTGTTTTCTATGATTGTTATAGAGACAAGTCTGAGTGGACACCAGTCTAGAAGGTATTTATTTTATATGACTTTTCTGTTGTCTTCGCTTAAGAGAGAATTTTTCAAATACCGTCTTTCTCTTACCTAGAATAGTTGTTATTTTTTATAAAAGAAGAATTAGATATTATGAAGCTTTTTGTGTGATTATACAAATGGGTGCACTAAATTGTGCACATGTGTATGGATGCACTTTTCAATTGTTTTCCCTGTTTTCGTTCATTCCTGGACAGTGTATTGGATTCTAATGACGCACAAACAATTTTTGCCCTGCAGTGTGTTTGGACTCTTTAATGTGCCTGCTAAATGGTAATGGCAGTAAAATGCTTATGCCGTGTTTAATCTTATTCTTTTACATTGCCATATATTTTCTTAATTATTTGACATTTAAATCTGTTTCAGGTATGCATGGATCTTGCTGGTAGTGTTCCAAGTTGTTATGCCAAATGTTTCTTTACTGGGACACCTATGTGGCATTTTGTCAGGCTTTGCTTGTATGTTTTCTCTCATTCTAATCTCCCGTTTTCTATTTTGTTGTGTCACACAAGGAAGTAGGTGATAATGTTTTGTGTTGGCTTTGCAATACAGATACTTACAGCTTATTAAATTTCCTCATTCCGGGAACATCCTTCTATTCTAAAATTGAGGCCTCCTCATTGTTTGTAAGTAAACTGCTTTTGATGATTCATCAATTTGGAAATCAACTATTGTTCGTCTTATCTAATTCGACTTGTGCATTTATAATTCATGCATTCCTAATCTTATTCTCTTTAAAACTTTATGCTTCCAGTCAAGTTGTGTGAGGCGGCCTAAATTTATTGTGTGCACTGGTGGGAATCCTTCAGCCTTCATCCCTACATATTCAACCCAAGGTACACCATCTAGGTAAGTATATTTCTGTTCCTTTTACTTTTCCTTGACTGATGAATTTTGGTAATTCGATTTCTTGAAAGACTACAGTTATCAGTGTTATAAGAGTTGTAAAATGATATATTTTATTTACCAGTGGATTCTCTTCTGGAAGTATCTGGAGAAACTTGTCTCCGTGGATCCCACGTAGGGAAACATCTGTACAGGTATTGTGTCTTTCACCTTTTGAGGATGTAAATGTTGGAAACCCTTTACTTACCGACCCCCTTTAGGATCCATATTCTAACATCAAAATGTCACTGTATGTTAAGAGTGTTGTGCCCTTAATTCAAACTTTGAAGTACGCACTTTGTTTGGTATAAATTAAGTGACTAAATTTGATGACTTCCTATTGCAATAATGCAGTCAGCACAAGACGGTCACAGGTTTCCTGGGAGGGGAAGAACACTTGGATCTGGTCAAAGTACTGTTTCTGATGCGGATTCAGAATCAAATTTACAGGCTAGACTCTTGGACAATAGCAACTCAGAACGTCCATCAGATGTGGCAGTTATTGGTACAGGACAGCAGTTATCTGATGGAAGGTACTAAAAAAACTTAATGCATACTTATAGCTTAACGAGTTTTGGGCATCTTTCACTAGCATTGCATTATTCATTCCCTAGATGTTTACATCTACTGCCTTGTTTTCATTTTTGTAAATAGTTTGCTTCGCTAGTAAGAATGTTCTCAAAGTTATTCTAGTAAACGACGTAAATCTAAAGCAAATCCTAAGCAGTATGCATTTGGCTGGAAATGGTACTACCTCGGTTCCTCTTATTTTCAGGCGGGCAACACTAAATAGTGCAGCAGCAGAAATTCCTGTACACCACCAGGTTTGTCTCTTCAAATAATCGTTTGGGTTTTCCTTGACGGTTCTTCCAGTCCATCTGGATTAGTCTCTAACTTGTCTTTCAGATGCAGGATTATGTTGCTTCTGAAGAAGAAATCAAAAAGCTTGTGTCAATGGGTTTTGAGAGGGTAAAATGTTAAACCGTGCTGTATTTCTCCTTAATCAAATGAGTTAACTATCCCATAGTACGCATTTTATTAGCTGCATTGATTCATATTGGTAAAGTTAAAGGATGCGGAAGTTTGCTATGACATACGTTACCACGCATCAGTAACGAGTTTAGTTGATGTTTAGCATTATAGTTCATGCTTTCTGTTATGAACATCTTCTAACAACGTCTTGGTAATGGGCTACAGACACAGGTAGAAGTTGCCCTAGCGGCTGCAGATGGGGATCTTAACGTGGCAGCGGAAATTCTGAGCCAACAGGTCTGTCTTTCGAACTTGTTCGTTTCCCACAGGTGTTGAGAGTCGAGATTTCGTGTTCTAATTATGGGGATTATTTCAGGGCTAAATGCAAGCAAGCAAATTAGCTAACTCAGTGACTTCCCAAAGTAAAGGATCGCGTTTATGTAAATTCCCATGTCTGCTACTGTATATTGTTTTAGACCCGTACCGTGAATATTTGATTGGGGGAGAAAAGATTGTGAATATGGGATATGACTACACACACTGACATAGCATCTGTTAAAATGAAAGCATTGAAATGGTTTACAACATTGCTGTAAAATCTACCGAAAATCGACTATCTCTGGTTTCTTCCTTCTTGAATGCTTCAGCCGTGCGTGGACTGTGACTGTCGGCTGTTGATGTGCGCGCTCTTCTGCGCTCCCCAATGATCCACGTCCAACAGTCAATCGGCCGGCGACTGCCCCTTAGCAATTTTTAGGCGACTGTCCTTAGCACGCCTCTAGGTGATGCATCATTTGCGTAAGGAGGTTCTTAACTCACTGGATTGCAATAATAAATCATTCTGCTAATGTTCCCCTGAAAGCTGATCAAATCAAACTAACAGAGAGAAATGAGAATTTGGTGGCTATAAATGAAATGAATATGGGTATTTTCTATTTTTTTAGTGGTACTCATTTTTACGTCTCATGCATCCGTTGAAAATCACATCGAATGAATTAAAGAAGATTCAATGGCCAAAAGTTAATAGAAGATTCAATGGTTAAAGATTAATAGAAGATTCAATGGTCAAAGATTAACAGTGGTTTGATCATTGAATAGTTGAATTGGTTGGATCGTTGAATCATTGAATTGAAAGAAATCAATGGCGAAAAATTAACAAGTGTGAACATATTTTATTATCCACTTTAATGGCAAAGGAATGATTTCCACTTACAGGTGATATTTTTTCACAAGTGAATTTTTATTTCTTAGGTTCGATTTTTGTGAATTGTCCCCTTGTTGAAAATAACCACGTTACCATTGTGAGACTTGCTTAAAAGGTCTTTCCAATCAGGACGTAGACAAACCATAGGTGGATCTAATAGTTGTTCCAAAGGTAAAGTGAAATCATAACAGGCTTCCTATCTAATAGTTGTTCCAAAAGTAAAGTAAAATCACAACAGGCTTCCTCATACCACCAGACATATCGTACGAGAGATTCCACCCAATATTTGAGCATGACTCTCTCCACGTAGAAGTCCCCTTCACCAATGATTGGCACCTCGATAGCTACTAAAATGGGAGTCTCTACCACTGTTTTAAAAATCCCCACTTAGTGCTGTCTAGACCCCGCCTTGTTCCCTATGTTTTCATTATGTTCCAATATTTCATAATATATATGTCATTGTATTTTGTAGTTTATGATGAAATTATATATATATATATTTTAAGTATAAACAAACACTTATTTACATGAAATATAATAGATTTACTTAAATCTGCCTAGGCGGCTAGGCCCCAGCCTACCCCCCTGACTAGCGTCTAGCGTCTTTTAAAACCTTGATCTCTACTGGAAAGGGCAAGTCCGCCAATATTTGAGTGAGCCGCTCAATTGTTTTGCTCACTAACAAATTTAAGAGTTGCTCTAAGAGATTCACCTTAAACTTGATAGCAAGATACAAATTTTCTTTCATCTATAATCTCAAAATAAAATATCATTCCCCTATGTTATCGATATATATATATATATATATATATATTTTTTTTTTTTCTTCTTTTCTTTTCTTTAAATTATCTTCATTATATTTTTTAAATTGTCTTCAACATACATAACGCTCGCATTTTATTTCTTTTTATCGTGATAAAAGGGAGTACAAAATACACCCTTTCCTCACTTGTTCTTATACTATGCAATCTTACATAGAAATCAAAGCAGCCGAACAATAGTTAAAAGGGTTATTTTCCTGCAGACTCCTTTGGCGGTTTCATGATCACAACTGGGCATGTTGCATGATGTGCACAATAGTCACTCACACTTCCTAGGAACGCCCTGCACCCACCAAAAGAAATTATACAAGTCACATAAATAGCTTTGATGATAATCCAAGATTGATGGAAAATGATTTCCATACGCCTTTTTCTCATTCTGCACACCTTTTCTCTTTGATTATTTGATTCTTCTTTTACTATTCAACCCAATGGCAAGAATAAAGGAAGGTGTGGGGAAGGAGACAACGATGATGCTGCGGAAATTATTTCCCAGATTGATTTGTACCGTTTTCCGGTGATTGTTAGTGAAATTATGTGTGCTCACCTTTTGACCATGCCAAGGCCACGACTACCTACGACAAGAAGATCTACATGCATCTGCTCTGCGGCCTCGCAAGTCATGTCCTTGGGATCCCCACCTAGAATTAGAGTTTCTGCTTTGATCGGCACGACATATAATTACGACACCCGTTAATTAATTAACTAAATCAAATACCACCTATGCATCAGAAAGATATGCAATAGCCACTAAACAGTTGCACATTTACAGTTGATTAAAATGTACGAGGCTAACAACAAACGTAAATATTATGTGAAATAACTCTGGTATTTCATTTCTTAATGAATAAGGAATTACAAGCAGGTTTATATACAACTTGGAAAATAGCTTAGTAATTAATTAAACCTAGTTAACTCATTAAACTAGTATTAGTTACATGGACAGTTGTAACAAACTTATAACCATATTACAATTAACTATTGTGTATCTCTTTACACCCCCTCAAGCTGAACGGAGGAGGGCTGAGTGAAAGCTTGGATTGTAGATATTGAAACCGAGCTTTGGAAAGAGACTTGGTATGTATATCAGCAACTTGTTGCTAAGTAGTGATATATTGCACTCTAAGCAGTTTGGCAATAATAAGTTCACGAATGTAGTGGTAATCAATTTCCACGTGCTTTGTGCGAGTATGGAAAACTGGATTGGAGGCCAAAGATATAGTAGAAACATTGTCACACCAAAGGATGGAGTGAGTTGGAATGCCACATACACACCTAAGTGAGTTCAGTCGCAGTGTGTGCAAGAGATCGGTATTCAGCAAGGTAATGATGATCGATTTAGAGATCGCTTTTACACACAGGAGAGAGAAATGTTTTGTCACTCTATTGATGATCGATTTAGAGATGCTCTTAGTTAGTACAATATTGTTTTTAAACACCTTTATTTAATTACAATTGTGTAATGATTAGGTTAAATCAAATTGAATTTCATGTTGCTGAATGACATATGTGACTTTTCATTTTTGTCAGAACTGATATATGATTTTGAGTAATGCTACGGAGATTAAATTTGCGAATTAAATGATGTGTCACCAATAAAAAATGAATACGTTTATCAATGTTTAAGTAATAATCCAATCATCAATTTCCATATCATTTAGTTTACAAAATTTAATTTACAAATTTAATCTTCTTAGCAAGACTCATATAATTTGATGTTAAATCGCTTCAAAAACGAGAGGAGTGCTGTTGTGAAAAGTTGGAGTGCGAAAATGATCACCTCATTTTCTAATAAGAAAACTTACATGAAGATGTAGATACCATGTTTCATGTTAGTCTTTTTCTTTTTCACTCATTCCATGTCTCGTGTTTTATCGTGTTTCGTGGAAAAGTACCGAGGCACATGTACATTGGGAATTATGTGCAAGGTTAATACATGCAAGTTAAAAGGAATTCGTGTCGTGTCTAACATCTGTTAAAATGATATCAAACAAATGTTTTGCAACATATATTTCAGCAATGGGAACTAAGGTTTACTAGAGCATTGGACTAGCAAAATAACAAATCTTAGACTGAAAACACTTTTAGATAAAATGTTTTGAAACCAAACCTTAGTAAAAATATTTTGGAACCCAAAAATATTTTCTCTAAAAGCGCTTTCAGTCGTTTAAAAGCACTTGCCAAATAAGTCCTTAGTTATCAAGCTGTCTAGAAAATGAAAATTGAAAACAAACAATCATTTAGTCTTTTCAAAGAGAGAAATGTATGTCTTCGATAATAACAAGAGATAGGAATAGAGAAGTATTACAACAAGAGACTTTTAATCTCTTTTCTAAAACGCGAATTTATTTCTTGACTTTAAATTTTGAGTCTTTTTCTAATTTTATCTATTCCCTATCTTTTTTTTTTCAAACTTATTATTTTTTTCTTTCAACAAAAGATATTATTTACACTAAAAAGGAGGGGTTAACTTTAGTACCACAATAGGTTAGCTATAATATGGTTCAAATTCGCATTTGACGATAATCAAACCTAAAACGTCTAACTTACAAGTGAAGAAAAATATCACTAGACCAGTACTAATTTGCGTCACCCGCATGTTTTCAATCTCAATCATCATTATTTCCTGTATTGTTCAATGTTCTTATAATAGTGAAGGAAAATCCAAATTAGTAAGTAAAACATTATGGGCCAAGTTAATAGGCCTCATCCATGAGCAACAAGTTAATGGACCTCAATCATAAACAACCCAAAAAAGGGTACTATCGTAATATAGTCATCAAGCAAAAGCTCTAATTTGTTCATCCTATAAATTGCTCTCTGAGTCTACCCTAATTCTGCCTTGTCTCTGCGTGTCTCACTCATCATTTCGTCGCCGCAATCAAGAATTGTAGAGCCCTTTCGCGAAATTGAGGTATACCCCATTCTACCCGTAGTCTCCCTCTCTAATTGTTTTCTCAGTGTTTCCGCTTTAAGGTTCATCTTCCTCTCTTTAGCTTCTTGTTTTGTTGTAGCAAGTAGCAACACAAAGAAAACTATGGAATCCTGATAAATTTGGCCTTTTTTAGTTGATATTTTACTGAATTTTCATATGTTGTGAAATTCTAATGGATCATGATATTTCTCAATGATTTTATTTTTGGAAAATACCATTAATTTATGATGCCCTGCCCACTTTTCTCTGATGATCGTCAATAAAAAGTTATGGAAAGGATAAAACTATGTACACTAGACATTCCCCACCCTCGCAAAGCGGGGAGCCTTATTGTCTTGGGGTTGCCTTTTTTTGGTAAATGTAGTTGGATTTTTGTAGATAGATTTGGTTTTTTTTTTTTGATAAATTTTTTTTGTTGAATTTATGTGTGTTGTAGCATTTTAAGTTGCTTCTATGCAATTTTCATGCATCATGGTATTTTTCAATGATTTTATTTTTTCTGGGGTTTAATGTTTGTTCTATGTTTAATTTTCATGCACCATTATACTAAAAATCATATAAATCATAGAACAATATCATGACGCATGGAAATTACATAAAACAAACATTAAACCCCAAAAAAACA